GGCCCGCCATGGCGCGCGCGGCGGGGTCGCCGCCTGTGCTGGTGCACTGAGCGTCGGCCAGGCTGGAGCTGAGGAGAGCCAGCGCCCGCTCTGCGCTCGGCCGCGGGGTGATCGGGTGGTCCGGGGGCTCTTCAGCCAGCACGTGCCAGGGTTGCAGAAAAAAAAAACCGAACCCCCCCAAACTGCTTTAGTTTTTATTAGGAGAACCTTGTAATTGCATTTCAGTTGTGCTACATCTGTTCTCTTTTTTTTAAAAAAATACATCTGTCAAGGCTATCCTACCATTCACTTTTCATCCACTTAGTTGTTCATTAGCCCTTGGTATATAAAGTTACCCTGTGGCTTGAGGAAAATACCCTTACAGAATTGCAGGCTGGTTTTGTTGCCAAGATATCATCAAGCTTGACAGAAATTCAACGTCTGTGCAATGAAATAATATATATAACTCGTTCAGGAGTTTAGCTTTATTTAATCTCTGTGTCTGCAGCGAGGCCCAATATCAAATATTCACGTGCCTAGTGTGCTTGCATGCGAAGTGGTTCATGTGCGGTACAGCTCCATAAAAGAACAATAAAGATAAGAATGATACCCTTTTTTTGATACTGCTGATAATATATATTGAGTGATACCAGTGGTGGTATCGTTGATTTGTTTTAAACGTTATGTTACAAAGGCTTATTTATTTAACACAAATCTGTATGTGTAGGATCAGGACAAAAGGTTTTATTTACACTTAATGTAGTACTCTATTTGTTACTTCTAAACCTGCTAGTTTTAGATTCATTGTTAACTGGCATCTTTGTTAATGCCCATAATTAAATTCTGGTTGATGTATAAATAATAAATCTTTTTTCCCCACAGGATTTTTTGTTGCAGCAGACAATGTTAAGAGTAAAGGATCCGAAGAAGTCACTGGATTTTTATACAAGAGTTCTTGGAATGACGTGAGTAGAAGTTATATGCCACAATGTTTGTTTTTTCCTACTATTTTCCTGAAAAGTTTTTGTTATTTTGATGTAATTATATTAATTGGTCTAACTACGTAATCAATGCTGGCCCATCAGCTGATGCCCAGTTGGACAGTCTGGCAATCTCTGAGAACTCCCACAGCATGATTAATGCCTAAGCTGCAAATGAACTAATGCTGGCCTCGACTAGAAATTTCTTTGTTTCTTAAATAGGTCATTAATTATCAGTGTACAACTTGCTTACTTCCTCCTCACTGAGCCTGCAGATAACTGGTAACTTTTATGACAGTGCTTATAATCGGGAGTCATTGCTATAAATCGTGAAATTAAGTTTTCTACTAGTTCTCAGAGGTGGCTTATGACCACCTCCATTCATAGGAGACCAAGGCAATGGAAGCTGGAGACAAGGTCCAAACTCAGTCTTTTGGAGAAAGCTGTTAGGAGGCAGATGCCCTGCAGTAGCCTAACATGTTTATGCTAACGCTTTGTGCACATTCTTGACATTTGAAATGAGTTACTTCAAAACAAAATTCTAGCATATTTTTAAACATCTTGAAATCAGCCCAGACTAAAGTAAAATAAACTACTTCTACTTTAGTGAAGATATGGGTGTGAGAAAATAAAAATTAAATACCTAGTAAGCTGAAAAGGAAATTAGATTTGTTTTGCATGCCTACTTTTTCTGGTTAAACATCCTACTTCAAACCATTTTTATGTATGCCACGCCAGCTCTGGAAATTAGGTGAAAATCGAGTGTATCAAATATTTCACAGGAAAGTGGGTGACTTCTTGCATCTAGGAAAGGGATAAATTTTATAAGCAGCTTTTTCTCACCTCAAGTATTGTTAGTTGGTTAAATTGTCATATTTGCAATGGATTTTATCATTATACCTAGCTATTGAAATTATAAAAATATTTCATCTAAAGGTATGTTTTTTTTTAATCCTGCTGTGTTCTTAAACTTTGCCTGGTGCCAGTGAGCTCCCCAGAACGAATAAGTTTCAAAGTAAATCATCTTATTCCTTGGTGATATTTTAAAGTGGATAAACATAAAGATCTTCGTGAGCAAATACGGGCAAGTAACAGAGTGGCAACCTCAAGACTTGAGCCTTTGTACTGGCTTTGCTGTTCAGTTACTGATAGTTTGGCTTTTAAGCATCTGATTCTTCTCATTTTTGTAGGTTTGTAATGTGTTCTGGAATGTTCCTATGTGGTAGTTCAAAATGTAGCTATTTTAAGATGTGGATTACAGTCAGAAAGGCAAAAAATCGCAGCAATAATTCTTCCATAGGGGAAATATCTTGGTTTATTTGGAAGCTACCTGATGACCTTTTTAAGTTACTATTTCAAAATAATTGTTGCCATTTAGACTGCTTCAAAAATTTGACTTTCCTACTATGAAGTTCTCGCTCTATTTCCTGGCGTACGAAGATAAAAATGATATCCCGAAAGATAAAACTGAGAGAACAGCTTGGACCTTCTCTAGAAAAGCTACGCTTGAACTGACACAGTAAGTATTAATATAATGAGAGATGACATTTAGCTACCAGTGATTAAACAGAAGTGGATGAGTGTAAATCCTGTTGGATTGAATAAAAAATGTAATCATTACTGTGGAAACATCTTCACTGTCATGTAGCCTTAAAATACAGCTGCGATCTTGGATACTTGGCAAGTGTAATCTTTCTCTTTCCAGAGCTCTTTCAAACTGCTAGGTGAACAGTGGAACATAAAACGAAATAATGCTTGCTGTATTTTGAGTATGCATGCCATCTGGGTAGGGAAGCCACAGAATTTGGGAAAACCCAATGTGGTTAGAACTTCCTTTGGATCCTCAGAGCATGCTAATAATGTGTAACTATTGCTTTTGGAATCTGATTCAAAAGAGGTATTAAGTCAAAACATACGCTTCCTGTAAACAGGACAATTTGGTTAATGCTATCATTGTAATTGTGCAGAAAGAATCTCCCAGATGCCAAGCCTGCTACCCTCACTGTTTGTTCCCCAGTGATGTGTAGATAAACTGACTCATGCAGCGCAACCATCTCTAATCTGAATGAGACAGGCGTGTCTCTGACTCATTTGAATGTAGAACCTGAATGCTAGTGAAGGGCTGTGAACATGGCTGGATTAGCCCCGAGACTATCTCTAGGACCTGTGACTAAGGAAAATCTCAATAGTTTAATGAATGCAGCCAACAGCTGAAATTCTCTGGTTTCTTAGGAGAAACAGCTTAGCCTCCTGAGGAAACTGAACATTTAGGATTTGTTAATTTCGATGCTTTTCTTCAATATGTAATAATTATTTCTTGTAGCAACTGGGGCACTGAAAATGATGAAAATCAGTCTTATCACAATGGCAATTCAGATCCCCGAGGATTTGGTAAGTCTTTAGTTTTGTGTTTGTAGTTTTTAAGCTTTGGTTTATTGTGATTACTTTTTTTCTCTTGTGTATTGGGGAAAAATGGAGTTTCAAATGTTTTTTAGAAAACATCCGTATGAATTCTTTGCAAAGGTTATTGGGTAAGTATATACTGTAGGCTTTATTTTCATGAGAACTAGCAGAGATGATATTTTAAACTTGCATGGATGAAAAGACTTTTCTAGTAGGTTACTTTGAAGAAAACGTACTACCGCTAGGAAAGAAGGGGACTTGCATTTCATCCTCTACCTCTCTTCTTCCAGCATGTATGCTGTGAAAGATCGTGAAAATAGGTAAACAAATACGTTTCAAAGTAATGAGCCACAGTTACACTTTTCATAAAGAATCTAATCCTTTGGCAAGCAAACGCATGCTAATAGTAACTACTGAATGAAGAACAGTAATTGCTCTTGTGTATCAGATTATCATGGTGTTTAGACTGATTTACATTTGGATTTCTATTTTATAATCCACTGGTTACCCATTTTAAGCTAGAAGGAGAATTGTGTTTCTCTAGCACAGAGGATAGTATTTGTGTGGCTCGATTTGATATTTTCAGTGCTTGAAAGGTCACTGGCTTGTGAAATAAGTTTCATAGTCTAGTCACTTGACATTTAAAGCTTCTGAATTGATTTGTAAGCTCAGACCTTGCATAGTGTTAGTCTCTACAAATACAGCATTAATGATAGACTCCTTGTACTGTTGAACTGAGCAAATGCAACAAAATCCTGTTATGTGGACATGCTTCAAGAAAGGAAATACAGATAAAAGAGTTTGATTGAAAATCTTATTTTTTCCTACTATAGATAATATTCTTATGTAAACAATATGAGATATTTTAACTCTAAAGTTCCTATTTTAAAAGGCATTATCAAAAAGCCAACTTTCTCAAGGAGAATAATGTTAATACCCAAAATGCTGCTCTTTCTGAAAGCAATGCTTTTCTCATATACAATCATATCTTATGTGAACTACAACATATGAACTTTTTCATAGAACACTAGCAATACTTACAGTGTACTTCATTCTTTTTACCTTGTTGCATAGGACACATTGGAATTGCTGTCCCTGATGTCCATAAAGCTTGCAAGAGGTTTGAAGAACTAGGAGTGAAATTTGTGAAGAAACCAGATGATGGTAAGCCTTGATCAGAAATGCAAGTCAGGTTTTTTTCTTGTTTTTAATATATTCTGCCTAGTAGATCTTCCTGGAAAGCCGAGTAATACGTTTCTAGTAGTTGTCACTGCTTAGAAGGTGCTAGAACCAGTTACCCCTGCACCCTATTACAGTGGGCAAAACTCACAATAGATCCATCTTGGTAACAACAGTCAATTGGTCTAGCTGCGTGCCTTATGTATGTAATCTGACCTTCACTAAAATTCATGTGGTCTGTTGATGTCATAGTTTACTATGTATACTACTGCCTAGAGTTATTACAGAATTTACTTTAACATGGATCAAATTCCCACATTTCATATCTGTTTGGTTCTTATCATATGAAAATAAGATGACTCAGAAGACATAATTACTCCCACCCATTAAAACTGAGTAATTCTTGACTTACTGGCTATTTTTATTTAAATCCACCTAACGCCACCTGCTAGTTATTATCATTTTAACTGTTCTGTCAGCTTTGGTAGAAATAGCCTCATTAGTCTATATCATATTTGATTTGTATAACTTTTACTAAAAAATGCATAATGTGTAGCTCAAATGTCTAGAGAGTACATAAACAAAGGTTGTCTATGTCAAAATAGCCTAAAATGCAGAAATCAGTGGTGAGAAGTCTTGCATTTTTCAACTGGATTCTCTTCCATGAAGACACCTCACGAGAGTTTTAGGACTGATGCATTCCAAAACGGACACCTAATACTCAGCAGCATGCACAAGTCTGTGATAATACTTCTTCCTTCTGGCTATAGAAACTAGATTGTTGCCTGTACTAACGGTGGGGGTTTTTTTAGTTTGAAAGTAACATTAGTACACGGAACTTCAGTTGACACGTATTGGAATTGATCTTCTAGATTCCTTGCTAGAGGAATAAGAACAAGTAATTGAAAAGAGACTGAAGTGATTTTCATCTTATTCACTGTGTTCTCAGCTGAAGCAAATGTAAGAAGTGCAGCTGAAAACTTAACTTGAACACAGATGTCTTGATTTAAGAATTGAACTTGGTATTTCTAGCATTTTAGAGTTTCTGAGCCCTTTTTAATTTGTTCAGCACCTGGTGAACCTTGAGAGAGTTGAAGTGAGAGCTCCTGACTTTGATTCTGTATCACTGCACAGCTCTGCGTTCGTAGGAGG